TTTTGCATCATATTTTGTTATTTGCCGTCTTCCTAGTGTTTGAAATATTTAATTATTGGCTGATGATAATTATTTACAAACTACAATTAAAACCAATAATTGTGGGATAATTGTGGAGGGCATTCTTAACCCCTTTGTAATTTTTGCTGTAACGCAGTATGCATTAACCAAAATGATAATTATATTTCTAAAAAAAATTGAAATATGTTTCAGCATGCACAGATCTAATTGTTTTCTGTCGTATGTGTTTTGGCAAAACCATGGTTATTTTCATATCAGTGGAGGCTAGGATGGAATCTCAGTCTCCCCAAGGGTTTTGATCGAAGAAACACCCTAAACGAAGACCCAAGCACCATGCCCACTACATCATTCTGTAATGGGCACTCTTGGTTATGGTGCCAAAAGTTCCCTGATGTTCCTCCCCCCATTGTAAGTAGTCAAACCATTTTAGAATGGTTTGACGTCTTACCTATGGTCTTCCAGGTTCCCCTCTTTTCCTCCAGTATAGCTACAGGCGAGTCAGAAGTTCCTGCTTCGGTTAGCTCTGCTGAGAAAATCCCTGCACTGCAGAGCTAATTCATTGGCTTGGATTCCTCTTCATTGGGCTGAGCTCACTCCTAAAACTGTAATGGAGGCAGGGAACATCTGGCAGACTCCAGGTAAGATCAATGTAAATCAGGGGTGCCCAAAAGGTAGATAACCAAATGTTTTATAACTATAGCTGCCATTATGCTTTTTCATTCTAAAGGCATGCAAAACATCATGGAAGTTGTAGTCCTACAACATATCTACATAAATGAATGTGAAGGTTTGCGATACAGAAGATGTGGATATATTGGGAGGGATAAAGGATGACAATATAGGGTGCAATAGAAACTTGGAGACACTGGGAAACCCAAAGAGGTAATGAATCAAGGGAAGGCAGGAACCTGGAGAGCAGAGGCTGGAAACCTTAACTTTACAGGCTCCAAAAATACATGAGGAGAGGCTTCATACATGGGAAGATGCTCTTTGTGGGTAAAGCTAGATACATGGTATCCATGGTGATTGCTCCAACTTGAGCACAGAATTGCCTCATTTTAGGATTTTTTAAATATAGACCAGGGAATTTCAAGCAGTTTGTCAGCAGAAGCAACTACTTAGAAAACAATTTAGAGGATTTTTTGCGCTGTACATTTAGTGTAAAATTAGTCACATCAAACAAACTTCAGCAACATTCGAGTATTCGCTCTGAGTTTGTCTCTTGTCTTTTTTGTCAGCTTTACAGCAGGATTTCATGAGACATGTGCATTGCATTAACTCAGGTTACATCAGGTCACATCGTGTGATAAAATATATTTCAAAATAATCTACGGCATTGCCACACATTCCAAATGACATATATTTTTCACTTATTAAAAAAATTGCCGTAACACTGAGCAACGTCTTTTGAAAGAATTCATTATAATGTCAATGTGTAATTTCTAATAATAGCACGCTTGATGCTCCTTAAATAAATGATTTGGGCAATAACACTATTATCAAAGAAACTCTGAAATAGGAAAGCATTCAGCTTAATTATGGACAGCTAATTATTTGTGATAAATCAGACCTTTGCAGCGAGTTATTCATATTTCCAGTTGCAATACAAATGCTGGGATAACAGCGTTTTTTTAAGAACGGTAAAGTATGGGTCTGAACAAAATGACAAGTAACATAAAACGCAAATGAGAATATTTATAACCAGTGTTTCTTATAAACTAGGCTAATCAGGGCCGGCCTTAGGCAATTAGGCGCCCTGTGCAAAAAGTCTTCACGGCGCCCCCCCCACCTCCCACCAAGTTGCCTGAATACAGTAACACACACAGGCACCGGGGACGTGTGTATCACGAGGCAAACAAGGCATCTGCCTTGGGCGCCACTTTGCAGGGGGCGGCAAAAAAAAGCATCCCTCCAAACCCCCAGGCAGATCCCTTGCTTGCCTCGCATCCTGGGGGCTCAAGAGCTGACCGGCTGGCCACTTTTGAGCCCCCCCAAGGCTGGCAGCGGGCAGCGAAGGAGCATACTCACCTGAGCTCTTCCTGCTCAGCTTCCTCTGCGCCGCTTAATGAAGCCGGGAGCCAGAATATGACGTCAGTCCGGCTCCCGGCATCACTAAGCGCTGCTTACTCAGCCTGTGCGCCCCCTGCCTGCCTGCCCAGCAGCCACACTGGACTGCTGGTAAGAAATCCACTCCAGCTTTCCCAGGGAGGCTGGGTGGATTTAAAATAAATGTAAAAAATATTAGTTTGTGAGTGATAGTGGAAATGTCTGTGTGTGTGTCTGTGAGTGTTTATTTTGAAGTGAATGTGTGTGTGTGTGTGTGTGTCTGTAAGTGTGTAATTGTGTGTGTCTGTAAGTGAATGTGTGTGTTGGTCAGTGAGTGTATATGTGTCAGTCAGTGAGTGTATATGTGTCAGTCAGTGAGTGTGTATGTGTCAGTCAGTGAGTGTGTATGTGTCGTCAGTGAGTGTGTATGTGTCGTCAGTGAGTGTGCGTCTGTCAGTGAGTGAGCGTCTGTCAGTCAAAGTGCGGCCTTGACAGGAAGGGGTGGGGGAAATTTAAACTCGGTTACAGGCATGTACACACACACTCAGTTAAAGGCAGTCACACATACAGGCACAGGCACAAACAATGGCACAGCTACAGCGACACACACAGACAGACAGTCACATAGGCAGTCACACACACAGACAGACACACAGTAACACACACATAGACAGTTATACACACACAGGCAGGCAGTCACACAGATAGAAAGTCACACACACAGGCAGGCAGTCACACACAGACAGATAGTTACAGACAGACACACACACAGGCAGGCAGTCACATACAGGCAGTCACACACACAGGCAGTCACACACACAGACAGACAGTCACACACACAGACAGTCACACAGACAGACAGTCTCACACACACAGGCAGTCACACACACGGGCAGTCACACACACAGACAGTCACACAGACAGACAGTCACACACACAGGCAGTCACATACATGGGCAGTCACACAGACAGACAGTCACACACACAGACAGTCACACACAGGCAGGCAGTCACACACAGAGACAGTCACACACACACACAGAGACAGACAGTCACACACACACACACACACAAGGACAGGCAGTCACACAGACAGACAGTCACACACACACACAGACAGACAGTCACACACAGGCAGGCAGTCACACACAGAGACAGTCACACACACACACAGAGACAGACAGTCACACACACACACACACACACAAGGACAGGCAGTCACACAGACAGTCACACACACACACACAGACAGTCACACGCACACAGGCAGGCAGTCACACAGACAGACAGTCACACACACACACAGACAGTCACACAAACAGGCAAACAGTCACACACACACACTTACCTCTTTCCAGTGGATGCAGTTGGCTGATGGGGAAGCATCTTTCCCTCTTCCTGTACAGCAGGGGCTTCGGGAGGTATTAGCCCCGTCTCCGCCTCTCGATAAGCCCCGCCTCCGCCGCTCGGTAAACCCCGCCCCCTCTGCCGCGATTTTTTTTTTTTTTTAAATAGACCCGGGTGGAGAATAATTAATCCTCCAGCCAGGTACCTCTTTTAGCTCCCCTGCACTCCGGCCATGAGTGAGCTGTGTCGGCCACAGGGCGCCCCCTGTTCCATGGCGCCCTGTGCGGTCGCACAGCTCGCACACCCCTAAGGCCGGCCCTGAGGCTAATCTTAACACCTCTAAAGTTCCGAATGAATGCAGGCTGAGTATCATAGTAAATTTGACTGAGAACAACTGGGGTTCAAACATAGCACTTTTTGCTTAAATATACACTGTGTCGGGGGACAACTGTTTTGGGTATAAGGCAAAATGCATGGGAGAGAAATGATGTTGCCCCATTTTTTATGTATTTTGTAAAGGAGCAAGTTTTTTTGTGGGAAACCATATTTATCAAACATGTTCAATCTTTGCATGTTTCACATTTTGGACAGGACATCCCAGTCACCTCTATTTTGAAGAATTCAGCATAGTATTGTTTTCGAAAGCCTTCAGGTATGAAACTGTATAACCTCAGGATGTCAGTTACTCTTTTATCTTTGTGCTATATATCTTCTGTATAAGCGCCCAGTAAATGCTCATCAGAACTGCCTTACAAGTCTTTTGCATTTCAGAATATTACAGGATAATCAAATGTACATCTTCCACATTAGAATGATCAACACTCCTACTCCCTATCAATATTAGTACCACACAACTTAAATGGTATTATTATTTGTTACTGTGGTCTGGATACCAAAGTAGGGTACTCCCAAATAACTGACATAACATTCTATTCCACCTCTTGTATATTCATGTAGCAATGGACACAACATATGGGTCAAGCAGTTGACTAGCCAAAATGAAACTTAAATATTTTCTTGCTATTTGACTAAGCAGCATTTCCAGTCACACAATCATTAATGTCCTGATTCCTATACGTAGATTCTTTGCTAGCCAATTTAGAACATATCACTTGCCCTTCTGCTAATGAACCTTTGTATCATGTCCTGTAAAAACAATTTGGACAAAACATGTTGTTCCCACCAGCCCACGCTGCAGCCACATGCACTCAGGTACATTCATTGAACCAAGAATTGTTGGAAATTGACCAGAGAACTGAAAAACGTAGCCTAAAAAAAACAAGCTGTCAAAATAACTGAATTTAACTTTTTTCAATTTTTTTTGCTATTGTAGAATAAATATAAAATCTGGTCAATTCCTGACATTTTACAGGTTAGTAAATTACCCTGACTGACAGATCTTTCCTGTACCAATCCACAGTTTTTCTGTAATTGTGATATTACTTTGGAAAAATCACTTCCTAGTGGGAATTGCTAATTTATGTTTTAAACATTTAACAGTGATCCATGTATTAGAAAGATGGGTCTTAGATTTGATTTCTGTATATACGGTTTAAGGGTGTGTCCACTGGCTTTTCACTCGGTTTATGGAATCAAGTGAAGAAAAGAGCCAGAGCCATCAAGTTCGAAAATTCAGCAGTCCAGAGACCGCTATCTCACCACCACGATTTCAGAGCCAGAGCCATCAAGTTCGAAAATTCAGCAGTCCAGAGACCGCTATTTCACCTCCACGATTTCAGAGCCAGAGCCATCAAGTTCGAAAATTCAGCAGTCCAGAGACCGCTATTTCACCACCACGATTTCAGAGCCAGAGCCATCAAGTTCGAAAATTCAGCAGTCCAGAGACCGCTATCTCACCACCACGATTTCATTGTATTGTGAGCCGCAAGTATATCTCAGCCCTAGGAATCACGACCAAGGGCTGTATGTTACATCCATTAACTTGTGAGCTGAGTGGTTGGTGTTGGGCTTTGTTCCCTGGTCTTAGAATTGTACTGCTTCGTATTACTTTTTGGCATTTATATATTGTTATTAATATTTATATATTTTTATTTACTGTGAAGTGTGCAGAATAAATTTTTGATGGATTTTTGATACTTTCCTTACGTTTATACACTTGTCTGTAATGATCAGCGCCCTCATTAGGTGGGTTTGTACCCACCTTTTTCTTTCTTATCTTGTCTTATAGGCTATTTGGGGTGTGCCTATTGAGTGGCAGCTTTTTACCTATAGTGTGCATCTATAGTACCCTTTATCTGGATCTGTTCTTACTTGTATTAAAAATATACAGAAGGCAGCTTATTTAAAGACATTTGCATATGACTAGGAGTTTTCTAGTAATGCTAATAATGGCACATTGTGACTGACATTCAGTGTCTCCACCCTCATGGAGACACTGAACTTTCCTCAAAGAAATGCATTGATTCAATGCATCTCTATGAGGAGATGCTGATTGACCAGGGCTGTGTTTGCCTTGTGCTGGCTCTGCCCCTGATCTGCCTCCTTGACAAGGTCAGTCTATGGGAAAGCATTGTGATTGGCTCAGATCACCACTTTTGATTATGTCAGCCAAGGAGGCAGATCAGGGGCAGAGCCAGTAGCAGCAGACTGGAATAAATACAATTTTCTATATTTAGGGGGGAAAGGGTGACCAGGGGGAATAGATGGTGTTTTTAACACTCTAGGGTCAGAAATACATGTTTGTCTTCCCGATCCTATAGTGTTCCATTAAATAGTTTTCACAAAAATGTATAAATGTTCAATATTTATGGAAATGTAACCTATTCACTGCATATAGTGAATTACATGAAATCAGTTTTCTGGTACAGGTATTCAAAGCAGCCCAAAGCCATAAGATATGTTGGGGCTTTTCACTAAGACAAGAAACTCACCAAGCTGAGCTTCCTGTGCATTCTACACTTACATAGCGGTTTTAGATCAGTAAGTATTCTAGCTCATTAAGTGTCCTGTAATTTAATGTATGTGTGTGCGTGCATGTGTATGTGTACACACTATTTTATTTGCAGACTAAGTGACATTCATGCTGGTTACTGCTGGCAATGTTTTAGGACATTATGTGACCCTATCATTCCCACACCATGCAGATGAACTGACGCATCATGATAAAGGTGACAACATGGCTTCTACACATGGGGTGGCAAAACTTACGTTGCTGCCATAAGCCAACATGAAATGTCCTCATCATTTTGCAGTTTGACAGCTCAGGAAAGCTTATAAATCTCAAGATGCAGGAATATTCTTATTTATATAATGTTTCCACATTTCCATGGTGGCATGCAATGTAAGTGGACCTTAAAACAAACATTATACAAAGACTGCTAAAACTAGGACTTTCTCAACTACAACATTTCCCATTAATCTTGTTTTATTTTGCATCTGTGTTGTCTTATTACATTTTGGAAGAATCATTATTTTTATACAGCGTTTTCTAATTATCAACCTTTCAAAATACTCTGGAGCCTAAAACTATTTTAATGAACACAAGAGCAAGACATATGGGTGGCCAGTTAATGAAACTTTATGTTCATCAGTAGGAATCTTGGTTCAGAACACACATGACAATACATTTAATTTTCCTCCTAAATGTTAAAAATTTAATCAACAAAAAAGATCATTGAATTAAATGTGAAACAGCTACGTGACTTCTATATAGTATAAAACCCTGACTGGGTACAAGGTCGTAAAAAAAAAAACTTAATGCTAAGTTCAAATGCATTTCTAAAGACTGCGATGTGTTGCTTAATGCTGGGCCAGAGGTTACACAGTACTGGAAAGGACGAAGGCTAACGAAATCAGAGGCATTTACCTTGAACACACAAAACACGTAATTTAAACCGTAAATTTTTGTGTAATTTGTTATATATGTTAAAGAAAAGATGATTTATATTGTAAAGCAATCAGATAATTTAGGTCAACATATAGTAGATAAAAACACACAAACATGTTGAAATTTAAAGTAGTATAGGACACAGTTTAAACTTTTTACTTATCTTTCCAAATGTACCATTAATTGAATATTGCTGATATTCATTGTTCAATTATTTTGTTGTCTGCTCATACTGCCCAGAGCATACTTTGGGTTCTACTATGCCTACTGTCTACTCACCTCTACTTCTCACATAGTGAAACAATTTTTTACAATTTTACATCAGGAGTTTCCTAAAACCTTTGCATTCCAGACACAAACGTATAATCTTATTTTATTAATTTATGGTGAACTCCAAGTTGTCATAACAGCTACGGTTTTCCACGGAAGCATACTTGTTGAACACAATTTGCTTCTATCTTAGAATTCCCCCGACAGACACTCTGTGCCAAGTTTAATCTGGTTTTAAGTCTACCAGTATTAAAATTACCCCAAAAATTTGTGTCAATATTCCATTTAAGAAAAAAGCACATATTGAGTTAGTTATTGGGCTTTTTGTGTAAAACACAAAGTTCTAAAATTGGAACAGCAGTAACAGCAAAATCCCATTAGTTCCCATGGTGATTGCTCCACTGTATGTGCCTTAAACAAGAATGACTCTGTAATCACAGCTCCCATAGACTCCTGTCTATAGAACTGAGAGTTCGGCTGGCTCTAAAAGAGTTAATTTGTTGGATAATGGTTCAGGTAATATGGTGTTTAAGTAAAAAATGAATACGTGGGGTGGGGGCAACGGAAGGGATTACATGAAAAAACAAAATCTTTTGACGATGGCTTACATTAACAGTCACATGGATATGTAAAATTTAAAAATTGATGCATAAATCAGCCAGCGCACGATTCCTCTGCAAGGACCTGCTCTGGCAAACAGTTTACTAATTTGTGACACACTAAATCGTCCGCTACACCGAGCACCTTGAGGTTAGCACATGTGTAATCATTATTTGATAACAGAAATCTGAAAGCAGCAGATCCATAGAAACGGGAACACTGTATCTTAGCAACTGTTCTTTATAGTCAAACAATTTCATTAAAGCATTGCACCTCTTAGCAGGTGGGTGAGTGCGAGTTTGTCGATAAGCATTTACAAGATGATCATCTATTGTGTATGCCAACACCTCAAGCTGCATAACAAATTTATGAATGTGTTTACATGGCCTGACATTCTTGATTTGCATAGAACATGTATTGTTATTGATGCTATACGGAGTGGTCTCATCGGGTCCCGGAGTCACAAGTTAATGTTGATCTGCTTCAAAATGAAACACGTAGTATGATGTGCTACGTGAAATAAATGGATTTAAAGAAATCAATGATTACTTGTACTGACGATATGCCTTCAAAAGAGATAGTAAAGAACATTTTGGGTTTAAAGCAGATCCACCACTGTGAATTTTAATAGAACAACACTTAAATATTATTTGTTTTAAACTAAAATGTCCTATATGTCGCAATAGAATTTTACTCTAAAAGAGTAGTTAGGGTATATTTTGGTTTGTAACTTGGTACTATGAAACCCCTGGACATGGGAGGTGGAGGCAGTCTTTTGTTGAGGAGCAACTCAATTTATTATTTAGGACAAGAACACCCTAATTCTATGCCTTTTTAATAGGGTCAGAAGGAATAGGTATCATTATTATTATTAGTTTTTATCTAGCTACAATATATTCCACAGTGCTTTATAATTAAAGAAATGCCTTGCTCAAACTAGCTTATAAATCAATGGTGGGAGCTTACTGATGAGGTGATCTAACCCAGGATTTAAACCTGAGGTTCCTAGATCTACAGCGGTGACTTAACCATTGTTCTAACCAGACAAACATCATGCTCAGTACTGTTAATAGAGACAGATAGGCTGAGCATCTAGTGACTATATACTATTAGGGCCAGAAGGTTTGAGAGGCCACTGACACGATGCCATGAACAGTGCTGGAGGGATTTTTAAATCTTCTGGCACTATACCGTTAGTGGGACAAGAGGGGTTATATATGCTTGTTGTAGTTTCTTGTTGTAGTTCCTGACAGTAAACACTAAATCACACATCTCCATGGTGAAACAATAGGCCACATTATCATGATGGTGTGATAGGTCATTAGTTTTTTTTTTTTTTTACTAATTTTAGTTTGGACCACTTGTTAGGTCAGGAATAGATTCACTTTCTGGCTTGAACACATTGAGTTGTGAAGGACTAGGAACTACCTCACCATGCATTGTCAACAAAGAAAGACTAATAGACCTAGGGTGGGGAAGAGGCTTTGGAGCCACCTACCCTTTTAGCCAATCTAATCTAAGGGACACAATAGTCAGAAAATCAACTTTAGCTAAATGAAGCAGTTTCGCTGTATATATCATGCCTCTGAAGTTTCACTGGTCAATTCACTGCCATATAGGAGTTAAATCATTTTGTTTCTCTTTGTACAGTCCTGGCCACACCTCTCCTGGCCGTGACTCACACAGTCTGCATGAAAACAAAATGGTTTCCATTTTAATCAAGTGTAACTTACTTCAAAAGTATTTATCTCATTCTCTGTAAATTGAACTTTAATTACACACGGGAGACTCCAGCAGAGTCCAGCAAGCTATCAACAGAGCATGAGATAAGGAGTTCTAAGTTAAACAGAATTAGCAATAAAGGAAATGCAAGCATTAAATGACTCTTTCCAGGAAGTGTTTACGGAGGCTGTGTAAGTCACATGCAGGGAGGTTTGACTAGGGCTGCATAAACAAAGTTATTTAACTCATAAATGGCAGTGAATTGAGCAGTGAGACTTCAGGGGCATGTCCTGTACACCAAAACTGCTCAATTAAGCTAAAGTTGTTTTGTTGACTGTAGTGTCCCTCTAATATGTTCCATCATATTGCTCACGGGTGAACAAGAGCAGAACATTTGTCCATCCCCGCTGTTCCTTATTGTACATCATCCCATATAATTCTCCCCACCACACACAGGGTGAAGGAAGAGGAGAAACTATTCAGT